ATCAATGGAAATCTGAGGTCACAGGCTCCTCCAACAGAGCAACACAATAAAACTGATCAAATAGTGCAAGTCAATACAAATACAAATAAAATAGAAATAGTACAAGAAGAAACATCATCTATTAATTTAGTAACAACGTCAAATATTTAGTTAACTGTATGTCAAGCAAGTATTAAAGATCTCCTATCTTGCTATTTTTAGGCATATATGATGAATCTCAGATATACACAGATCTATAAAAAACATGTATGATGTGTTTTTCTCAAAATACCAAACAGAGTATGCATTTTAGAAATCCCCTCATACCCCTCTATTTCAGCCCTGATACTAAAGTGCTGATTCTGGGTCTGTTGCTTTACAAAAGCCCCCGTTTTTAGAGATGTGGGTACGGAGGGTTTTATTTCCTGACACTTTGTGAGTCTCCTGACACCGGGGACACATGGTGATGTAGAGAAGACCTAAAAAAGTGCATTTTGCCCGATAGGAGAACTTTAAAGTGTAAACTACAGTCAATATATCTGAGCAGCATTTTACTTTTGTCGCAGTTTTCTATAGCGAAGGCAGCCTGGGAGGGTTTGTAGTATCTGACGTATCCGAGGCCTTTACTCTCCCCGGTGAACTTGTTCTTGATGATCACACAGTACTCAATATCTCCGTACTCCTGGAAGAGAAGCAGATGAACACAGGGATTAGGATAAGATAAGGTTAAGGTGAGGGTAAGGTAGGATAAGATAAGATCCCATTTTGGTAAAGGTGGTTTTTGACAGCATTACTGCGAGTGTAGATTCATGCAAAGGATTGTTTGTTAAGGAAATAAATGGATTGTATTTTTCCGCACCTGAATACAAGCCTACCTATTCATCATTGAACACAACAACATCAAAACAGTATCTATAAACACAGTCAGCCAAGTCTTCCCCAGGAGCTAAACCACCACCTTTAGTACACGATACACTACAGCTAATAAACAGACCTGTATTCATCCTGCTGAACTGGGTATATGATCACACATGCAAGGTGGAAAAAACCACCAATACTTGATGCTATAAGTATATTTCAGAGCATAAAATGTAAAATAAGACAATTTTAAAATGTTCAAATAAGACACGATAGAGCACGTTTTAGAGCAAATCTAAGTCAGTTCTTCCTGATTATGGTGTATCGTAGTCTTAAGTTATATTCCACATGAAAGATGTGAGTGTTTGCCTTGAAGGTGTCTTTCAAGTCTTCCTCTGAGAAGGTTTTGGGGATCATGACGAAGATCCTGGTCAGCTCTTCATCCTCCACGTCTCGGTGTCTGTTTGAGGAGCGACTCTGAGCGATAAACACCTGAACAAGAGAGGAGAACATTTATAAATACAGGTTAATGAAACATTCAGGAACAAAACATCTGTAATTATAGTTTAATGAGGCGTGAAAGGTGTGGAAACTAACCCCTGATTAGATTTACTCTATTGATCCCAAACTTGGAAACTATTTTTGATACAACAGCATGTTAACAAAGCACATATACTAAAATATATATTATATTATTTACTTTGATAGGTTTTCTTTTGTTCCCTCCTTCCCTTGCTTCTCCTCCATGTATTATTTATATATATATATATATATATATATATACACACATACATATATATATATATATACACACATACATATATATATATACACACATACATATATATATATATATACACACATACATATATATATATACACACATACATATATATATATATATACACACATACATATATATATATATATACACACATA